ACCTTCACTCATGTCATTGATGGCTTATTTAGAAGCTCAAATGCTGACAATCAGAGTTCAATATTTTGGAAATTATTCACAATTTCTTTTCTTATGCTTGTTCAAAGATATTTTTTTTAATTTTAAAAGTAGTCAGAGACATTTACAAATACTTTGAGAAGCTTCACAAAAAGCTTAGGTATGCTGTGTCCAGTGTCTAGTTCTCATCATGCATTAGAACAATGGCCTAATTTAATATGACAAAATAGACACTTTTAATGAGGTATGTCCTCAGTTCACCTCATTTATCACCATGAAGTTTAGAAGTTACAGTGCACTCTAATTAAAGGTGAAGCCAGTAGCTTGACACTTTCCAGAAGATGACCCTTTTTCAGTTTCCTGTACTCTTGCCAAAGTATTTAGGCTGAAATGTTCTGTGTTGAATAGTTGTCTAAGAAGCATTTCATCTTATTTATTCTGAACTACAGAGACTGTCCAGCCATTTCCAAGAGGGAGATTAATTTGCAACCATTTTATGGGGAAACTTGAAGCCTCTCTGCTCAAAGTGAAGAGCTTGAAATTTGACTATAATGTTGCTCCTTGTTTATGAAGGATATTCTTTTTTGTCCTATACAGAGGAGGAAAAAGGAAAGGAAGGAAACTAATTTCAGTATGCAGTTCAGGAGTTAAATTCTCTGTAGAGACAGTGCATCTCGGAGGTGTTGTAGCTCAGGGCTGTTGAGTCTGGTCAGGGCTTTCCCTCAGCCTCAGCAGGCTGCTCCACTGCTAGGTCCCCAGCACTCCAACATCAGCTGTGCTGATTCCTGTCCAGGGAGAGGTCCGTCCTCATTGTGTTCAACTTACAGAACATAAGAGAGGATGGTTGGGCTGGAGAGAAGAGTAAAGAAGCACAAAAACTACACCATCTTTAGGCCTGGAAGCCAAGAGCAAGCTCAAGCACAACATACTCAGGCGAGGGGCGTTCATATTGCCCAGCTATAGGATTTCATGATTTAATGTGCTGTGACCAGATTGCTCTGACAGCTAGGTAGTCTAAGCTAAGTTGTTTTGTTTTTTCACAAATCTCATTGCAAAAGGAGCAGGGGCTAAAAACTGTGGGGAAAAAAAAGTTTTCATGTAGGGTTTCTGTCAGTTAGGAATAGAGAAGAATGATTAGGCAAGAAAGGGATTCTTATAGAAGTGAAGTTGTATCTTAAGTAAGAGCATTGCAGTGGTACAAGAGAGTGTTAAGGTTAAGAAACTTGAAGTCAGCCCTACAAGACTCAATACTTCATATCACCGAGTTTGGAGTAGTTCTCAGTGATGGTACAAAATGTTGAGCACTCCGAAGAATTAGGCTCTCTAATTGCTGTTTCAGATCCAACTATAATTCATATCCTACACCGAACATGCACTCTGTGACATATAGCATTAGTCAGATGTACCTTTTAGAACTGTCCTCCAGCTTTTGTTATTCACACAGAGCTGTTCAGTACCAAGTACAGTGGCTTAAAATGAAACTTCTTTTTCACTAACAGAACCTCATTACTTTGTTTCACAAACATACTGCAGTGAAGTAATTTCTTGCAGTGTTAAAATTAAAACTATGAGCCATCTTGGGACAATAAATACAAAAGCATTCTTCCTGTGACCTTTAAGCATACAAGTTGCCTCAGAGAAGGTTGCTATAGTGAGACTTAGGTCTAATCAACATGGTATTTTCATTTTTGTTGGGCTTATATTGTGCAAATATTTCTGTTTAATTGGTTGGAAATATATGCATATTCAACTGGACAGATGCAAGTAAATCACTAGAAACTGGCTGAAACTCCTGAACAACTCAGCAAAACAGTGTATATGCAGACCTGATTGAAGTGTGGAACCACACTGTATATACAGGAGTACCTCAACAAAAGTTAGTGGATGGGTCTAAAGCCCTCTCTAGTAAATGTTTGCTTATGTTTGCAGAATACTGGTCTTACTTGCTACAAAACGTTACATAATGTCAGCAGAAAATTGTTCTAGTTATATTACTACTAGATATTTGTTGAGATTCATTAACATGTCAGCTGTGCTTGTTGTTCTTCTCAGACATGCAGTGTGACCTGGTGCCATTCACTGCATTAGCATCAATACAAGCATAGTGATAACATCTTATATAAAGGCAGCCAAAACCAACACCATCTTCATATTTCCTGAAGATATTCATTGTCAGCATATTAAGACTTTGGCAAAGTTGGAGGTAGCCCTCATTGGCACAGTAACTGCTGATTCATTGAATGCTTAGCCTGTGACACCCAGAGAATTTGTTTAAAGTTAGAAGTGATGCACTGATTATTTGGTTATTTGTCAGAGAAATGTGTCTGTTTGAAATAATAGTCCTACTAGTGAATTATTTTGCTCAACGCCAGCTTTTGGCTTAAATAAAACAAAGAAGTCATATCTTCAGAGCAAGTATTTTGATAATGTTATATCAGATTGAAATTTGGCATGTACCTTCTGACGTTCAGCCTGTTTGACAGTGCAAAATAAAAGTAGCATTATCTGGCCCGTATATAATAAGCATCACCAGAGGAAAGTGTTTTTACCTATAAGAAAATAATAGTCCTGAATCTAGCATATGAAACACAGGAATAATTAGATGTGCCTTTGGTGTAAAAGTTTGAATCACTTTGTTCCTGTGGGAATGTATTTATGAACGCAACAGTGCAGCATGGCAATAGCAAATAGCAGCAAGGAAAGGGGTATTAATTATTTGACTCTTATCACCATTAACCCAGGTAGCTTGGATAAATTCTTGATAGCTTGTATAATATTACAGGGCCTTTTCTTCAAATAGTAGCTATAGCTGAATGATGTTGGTTAATTGGTTGGACCAGATGATCTTGAAGGTCTATTCCAACCCTAATGATTCTGTGATTCTATGATAATGTGTGCACATCAGAAGAGAGGAAAAAAATAAATGCTCTCTTCATTCTTCTTCTCCCCTCCAGTGCAGATTTAGTAGCTGTGGATGTAAGACTGTCTGTTCTTTGTCATCACTGGTTCAACTGAAATGACAGATCAAGGGCCTCTTGTCACATCTGCTGTAGCTACATCCTTAGGTCAGGAACCCAGCATCACTGGGAGTAAAGCTGCCAGAAACCATGATTTCTGGTCTTCTGCAGCCTTATCATATATTTCTGATCAGATAGCTATTTTCCTAATCTCAAGTATGGCTAGACAGTGAGTTTTGCCTCCATCCCTTTCCTCTTGGCTTCTCCCCAAAAGCAGATGATAACAATATAGCAGAAAATTTATATAAAACAAATAGATATTTGCTGTTACTCTGCTTTTTCCAGACTGTATTGTACGCATTGTAATTCTTATTACTGTTGTCATGGCTATCAGAGTATGATATTCTGCCATTCTATTTTTGCCACTTTTAATCTAGGGCACAGCAGTTATACCAAAACATAAAATTATGTCACATTTATTCCTCTGCAGTGTCTGTGATGGGCTGGTGGTCTTTGCCTTTATCATTAAAGCCCTCTTGGTCAAACCCTGGATGTCCAACAAACCATCTCCTGGGCTGTGAATGTTAAGTTCAGGCCTGAGCTCCCTACAGCTTTGGTACCCATTCAGTCTTCTACCTCTTGGATAGTAAATTGACAACGAGATAATCCATTGTGGGCATGGAAATGTTAAACAGGATATTTACAGAGGGAACAAAGTGGGTTGCCTGCAATCTGTTATTGTTGCCCAAAGGCTAGAGAAGGTAGGGATCTTTGAACTACAGTGAAAGGTGCTGCCACGTTTATAGGAAATCATCTATCACTGGAATGAACTCTACCTACCATATTCAAAAATCCTATTCAGGATTTTTGCAAGTTACATCATGTGCTGCTCTGTGTTCACGTTGTTTTGTGTTCTGTGATATAAATACCCAATACCATATACATTTAAAAATAAAGCTAAAACCCTAACTAAAACAATACTAAAAAGCACCCTCCCACAAAATAAGGCACAATACATGGAAGAGGCTATTGGAAAACATTATTCCAGTTGCTTGATATATTGTAGAGGGTAGAAACATAGAATCGTTTAGTTTGGAAAAGATCTCTAAAGGAGGGTCACTCAACTTTTTCCCTCGGCAACCCCTTCCAATGCCTTACAACCCTTACAGTGAACATTTTTTTCATAATATCTAACCTAAACCTCCCCTGGTGCAACTTGAGGCCATTTCCTCTAGTTCTATCATTGGTTGCATGGGAGAAGAGTCTGCTTCCACCCTGCTACAATCTCCTTTGAGGTAGTTGGAGAGAGATAAGGTCTCCCCTAGGCCTCCTTTTCTGTAGGCTAAATAGTCCCATTTCCATCAACTGTTCCTCATAAGACTTGTTCTCTAGCCTCTTCACCAGCTTTGCTGCCCTTTTCGGGACATGCCCCAGCACCTCGATGCTGAGTACAGAGGGACAATCACTTCTTTAGTCCTGCAGGCCATGTTATACAATGCAGGATGCTGTTAGCCTTCTGGCCACCTGAGCACACATCTGGCTCACATTCATCCAGGTGCTCACTCTTCAATGAGGAGTGCAGTATAAGAATTCACATACAGTTTGCTCAGTTACTCCATAAATAAAAATCATTGTGTTCATTTAGAAAAATCATGTAACACCTTCCTAAGAAGTCACAGAAGTTCTTTGTAGAGTGAAGTATCAGTCTTTCTTGCAGCAGATGATTTGGTAAACATCGAAAACTAAATTCATGGCTAATATAAAAAAGTACAGTTCACCGTAGTCTTCATCAGATCTAAATCAACACAATTTGATGGCATGTAAGCTGCGGGCATTTCTATATGTAATGGTATGAACTGTTACACCTTTTTTGGTTTTGAGCAGATACCAGATTTCAAGCTTTTGGCTGCTGTTGGAAATTTGAGAAAAAATAATGCGTTTCATTTTACTTTGACTGTGAGCTCCGGCTGGTAAACTCTGCTATGGATAATTGTTTCATTTTATATATTTGTTTCATTTCTACAGGCCACTTGCTTGGTCTCTCCCATGATGACTCCAAATTTTGTGAGGAAAACTTTGGCTCCATGGAAGATAAGCGCCTAATGTCCTCCATTCTGACTAGCATTGATGCTTCCAAACCCTGGTCCAAATGCACTTCAGCAACTATAACAGAGTTTTTTGATGATGGTCATGGTATGTATCTTTTGCTTCACACACTTTGCATCGGTTACATGTCAGTTTTTGCTGCAATCCATTTTTGCAATAAGAACATTTTATGCCAGATTTTTCTTTCCTTGCTCATCTTTAGAACTATCTTGGAAGTGCTTGCAAAACAACGCGAAAGTCTAAAAGACTGTCAGGGTCTCACCCCGACTTTGCATGGTTCAAATGCACAAGAAAAGAACAGAGTTGATGGAGTGTGTGCTGGCAGTAATTTGTTTTGAAACAGAGTGTTTTGTTTTTTTCTTTTTTAAACATGAAATTAGACTTTTCTTCCCTAAAATATCTAAAATATATTTTTTTCTAAAAATTTAAAATATAATCTAAAATATAATATAGTCTAAAAATATAATTATGCCACAGATAGGAGTTCAGAAAGTATTTTAAACAGAGGACACAAGCAAATTCCTCTTCCTCACAGCAACTGAGGTTACTATGATCTACATAGCATTGGACTATATGAGCAATGATAGATACGAGCAAAGGGTATATGTTCTTCTTACCATTTACAGCATTTATTATTACAATATTTATTATGTTTATGTAAAGGAGCCATAAGCAAGTATTAAGACTCTTCTATGCTGTACATGAGAAAAGTCTGCTTCTGCCCCAGCAGCTTACCCTCCAAGTCTTAGAAGTAATATTCTTTAAACATGTCATTTACCCTTTGGAGAATAAGTACAAAACTTTCATTTTTTCCACCAAGTAGTAATAATAGTCTGCACTCTTAAATGAATTTTAAAGTCTGCATTGTGCTTCCAAAGCAACTGCAGTTCTTAAACCATTCAAATTCCAAAAAGCTGAGATAAAAATGACATAACTGAATGAATGGATCAAGTTGTTATGGTAACTGAAATACTTATGGATAAAAAGTATGGTAAGTCTGCTGAATGTAAAGTTTTTGCTTTTAAATATTGTGTTGGCTAATTTTAGTGCTCTCTGAAATATTTTCTCCTTTTTTCTCCTATCTGGAGAATGACTTCATTTTTTCTCTCCAGTTTTATTAGATCCATTAATCTGTGCTGTCCTATTTTATGGTCCATATTACTCTGGCATTGACTTAATATTACCAAGTTAGTTTCCACATGTGAAGAGATCTTTCCTTTTTGAGTTTAGGTACATTTATTGCCTTTCTTCTCACCTGGGAATTTTACAGTATGTGTTCACTAGGGTAAAAAAGGGACCTTCCTCACCACCCATGTATGACCATGTACAGAGTATAAAGATCTATGAATATATCTATCTGTATGTATCTATGAGTATATCTATCCTCTTCTGTTCATCTCCAATCCAAACTGAAATGTTGTATTCATTTTCTCCCTTTTTTTGTGGTCTGGATTTTTCACCTTCCTATTCATCCAGCCAGCTACGTCCTCCAATAATAACAAAAAGAAAGAGCATTTCTACCATACATCTCACCTTTGGCTTGTTTGCAGTGCAGAATGCTCAAAATTTGGACTTTTATCCACGGTCTGATCCTAGTCTGAACATGGAAATTAAGCAGGGCTGTAACAATTTGTCCTACAGGTCTAAAAATATGATTTTGCAATTTTTTCAGCACAAGTCGGTAGGTGCTTTAAATCCTTAAGGGCTGCATTATGGTTTCCATGTTCAGCATGAGTGTTGCCTTCCTGCACAAGAAGTTTAACAGTTCTCCATTGCTGACACTTTTCACAAAGTCATGTATTCTTTGCTGCACACAAAATGCTTAGGATCTGTCAGTTTGTTAACGGATGGGTTAGGGTATATTGCCCTTTCTGATACTCATGAGTAGTTACCACTCAGGCGTGTAGTCTCAAAGAGTTATCAATAGGACAAAATAACTCACAGAAAATGTGAACCTTCAGTCAGATCTATGAAGTAATTTTGTTACTGATACTATTGCTACAATTTCAAAACTACAATTTTTAGGAAATCTGTTTTCTTGATAGATTAGGCCCTCAGAGACATTGTCTACATAACAGCTTTCCTTTTCTGTTGAAGTTTATCATTTTTAGCTATTTATTTTAAATCAAGATTTGTCTTGGCAAAACACAAATACAATCTATGAAATAATGATGAAGGTCAATGATTTAAAGTGCAGTTTCTACAAATTATCGTGCTGAGAGGACATGTATTGTTATAGGAATGGAACTGCTTCTGGTTTTATTTTCTTCCAGCCAGTGAATAAATCCATAGCTCTGTAATTCTCATTTGTAACACATACTGAGTATACCAAAAGCCACAGAACCCTAGTAGAGCATGACGCCGCCTTTCAGACTGCTTTGGGCTGATAATAAAACAGAGCAAATGTGCCATATTTCCATGTTTGCTTCAGAATGAGCATACTTCTGCTTTTGGGGTTCTTAGTGTTTTTTTTCCTTAGCTGTGGCAGATGTACTTACTTATTACTTGTGTAGCTACCATGCTTTCTCTCCCTTTTTGTTTTAGATAAGGTGCTCTTTTGTAGTCTTCCCATTGAAAGGAGAAAATCCTATATCTCTCAAGTGCTGCTAGCAGAGAACAAAAAAAATACCCATTCAGATGTACTTTTGAGGAGTGCTGCAGGCATAATGTTGTCAAAGAAGGCACAAAATATCAGTTACAACAGAAGGATGAGAAAATACAGATCTTCGTATACCAGGCTTTCTTTTAAGATGCTTGTGAGTGGTTTTTGTATAGTCACAGGAAGTTTATGTGGAAAACACTGAGCAAGAAGAGACTCTCCCATTCTTTAATGTGCAACATAAGCATTCTGCACAGTGCTTTTGGTCTGAATGGGCATGAGCTTATGAAGTGTGCTTTGTGATAAACCAGGCATAGCAGTATTGGTGTGAGGAAGTAAATATATGAAGTACTTCATCCACTGCTCCTTATAACTAAACAAAATGAAATGTGAATAAAGTCCAGAAACCTGGATCTTTGAATGGTATTTTATTATAAACAAGTAGTCAATATTGTATCAAAGCTTTAAGTTATCTATATAGATTTAAAAACTTGCTCCATACCACTCTAACAGCAAACATCGTCATAACTCTTGAATTTTGTGACATCCATTTCTCAAGAACTGAGATTTGTATTTTATATATTTGGAAAGTTGTATTGATAAGTGGATTCATCTTATAAAAAGTGTATATTTGCTATGTAGGTAGCTCCACCTAAAGCAGATATTTAAGTTCCCATTGCATTATGAAGGGGAGTAATCAATGGCATTAGTGGTTTGATGTCATCAGTTGCATTAGTGGCCCTGAATTACACCACAGACTCATTTGCCTGTACTAACTAGTAAAACATATGACAGCTGACTGAATTGCAGACACCAGCATTACATACAGTTATGGTCAGCTAAATAAATTTCAGTATAAATGTCTCACCCAAGGTCAACCAGGAGGGCTGGGGACGATCAAGATGCTGATTCTTTTTCTCCCGAGGCCCACTCTGAGAACTTTAATCATTGTTATCATTATATCACCATTTGTTTTACACTCATAAGATGACCCCAGACAGCAGTTTGACATTTAGAAAGAAAATGTTCAATTAGTGTCCAGAATACGGTGACATTTATTTCCATCTGCTTTTAGCCAACTCTTTCCTAAGATAATAATTGCCTTTATTGTCATGCCAGCCACTAGACTGTAGTATTATTGCTTGCAATTTATTGTGTTTAGTCAGAGTGTTTGGTGTTCTTTGTAACCTGAAAAAAAAAATAAAAAAAAAAATGAAAGGACTATTTCTAATTTAATTAATTTATATCCTGGTTATCTGCTTCCTGCACAAATTTTATTCTGCCTTCCAGGCTATATTGCACATAACACTGAGGAAAGAGAATGAGGTGTCTTGATTAATACTGTCATCAGTCAAGTATGTTGCTCTAGACCAAGGCACCCTAATGTTCTTTGATACTCAGGAGAAAAAAAGAGAGTAGTAGTACATACATGTTCTGTACATTATAATGTAGTGAATTGCTGTTCTTGCTTTTAAAAAATAGATTTTTGACAACCACAGGAAGAAAAAAATCTGTGCTTCTTCACTTTTTACCATATCTTTAATATTTTATACTATAAAAGACTTTGAATGCTAGGATACTTTTAAATGCCTTTATCTCACGATGCTCAGTTCATCAGTTAGCATTGGCACACCTTGTCTTTATTTAAGAAGCTAGCATAATCCAGATGAAAGATAAAGCTAGAGTAAATCTGGGTCAGCAAAGGATAAATACAACAAGTTTGACAAGTTAGCTTTTTGGTAGTAAGCGATGATGTAGAAAGACTTTTTGGCTCATTTGGCTAATTGTCCTTAGCCTTAAGAGGGAAAAAAAAAATAGCTACAGTGTATGTTCTAGAGGGAAAACAAGCTATTGAGTGATGTGGTATTTGATTTACTTAAATTCACTGCTATAGCTTGAAATTCAGTTCCAGTTAGTTTAAACAGTAAAGTTTTTCTAGATAGCCTTTTTTCATTCATGATCCAACCAAAGAATACTGGTGTATGTTGCAAAGTGATGTAAATTGTGGTAAGTCATTTTGGCCAAAGATAAGTGAAGCTTGCCCAGACCACATATCCCTTTCATGGGGTGTAAAAGAGATTATGCTGAATAAATAGCTCTGCATGTTAACAACTGAGTTTTTTCAATAGTAAAAAAAAAAAAAAAATCTATTAGTAGCTTGTCTAGAACCTAAATGCAAATTCTCATTTTCAGAGTGTGCCAGACAAATTTTTACTTCTGCAGTATATTTCAACACACATATTCAATTCTGTATTTTATATTTATGCTATTTTTTCCTTGTCTGTTGGTTTTTGTTTGTGTTTGTTTTGTGCATTTTTGTATAAAATTTATAGCCCTCTTCAAACTAATCCCAGAAGCCACCAACTATCTTTACAAGGGAAGCCCAGTCCAGATTTACCACCAACATTAGTTTCAATATGCAACTTCTGTTTTTCCTTTGATCTTTTTGTGTTTGTTTTTTTTTGTTTGTTTGTTTGTTTGTTTTTGTTGGTGGTGGTGGTTGTATTTAAGTGCCTCATGAGCTAGATGTCTGTTTTTTGTGATTTTTCTGGCTTCTCTTTCTCAGTATTACTGATGTTTTGGCTCAAAATTCAAATGGGAATTTTGTTTACTTTTCCATGAGTCTTGATCATTCCTTAAATCACATATTGATAGAGTGGAATGTATTCAGAGTCAATTCAAATAAAGGAAAACAGAATGAAAGAGCAAAGGACCTGAATAAAACCAATTTACACTCCTGGATTGGAAATAGCTTGACACCTGGTATACTCCTGGGAGACACAACAGTTGCAATATGACCTTGTACAAAACCTCAGACACCTCAGAAAGTCTTTCCACTGACATCAGTGTCCTTTGACACTGTCATTCTCACTGTCATTATCAGTTCTCGTAATATGAATGACATACTAGTAGCACTGCAGAGAAAACAAGGTAATGAGTAATAATAGATTGGATTGCTCTTTTAGGTAACTGTTTGCTGGACCAACCAAGAAAGCAGATCCTGGGCCCCGAGGAGCTTCCAGGGCAAACCTATGATGCCATTCGTCAGTGCAAATTGGCATTTGGATCCGAATACACAGTGTGTCCTGGTATGGATGTGTGCTCTCGCCTGTGGTGTGCAGTTGTTCGTCAAGGTCAGATGGTATGTCTGACTAAGAAGCTGCCTGCTGTGGAAGGGACACCATGTGGAAAAGGGAGGATATGCCTCCAGGGAAAATGTGTTGACAAAACGAAGAAAAAATACTACTCAGTAAGTTACCTGCTATGACCCTAGGGAATTTTAGAAGGAGTAACCCTCAAAGGCACTGATTTTTGTGGGAGGGAAAGGGACTTGGCAAAAGTCAGATTGAAAGTTACTGTATATTTTAGCATGTAATTGGAGTGTTACTGGTAAGGGATGCAGGAAAAATGCTACTGAGTTTCAGGAAGTTTCATTCAGGAAGTTTTCTTCTTGAAGTACGGAAGCCTTCGATCATGGAAAACTGAGAACATCCTTTCAGACTAGAGGACTCACCCATTCAATAAGTCAGGTCTCAGGATGTGTGGAAAGATTCTCAAGGAACTATTCATAGCTTCCTGACTTCTTGGCAGTGGACTCTGAGGTAAATTAAATCTGTAAATCTAGTTCACAGCCCTCATCCAGAAGTGTCCAGGGACCTAACTGTAGTGAAGAGAAAGATTGATGAAATTCATACGGGATACAATTTCTGGATCAGATAGTTTATACTTATAGTGACAGAGTCCCCTCTGTCAACTTAATAGCTCTTAAGAGTCCCCAGGTTCATGAGAGTGGCCAGGTTCATGAGATTGCCATCTGCACAGTTCAAATGCTTTGAAATTAACTTGGAAGACAGTAAGTAGCACTGCCCTTTCTGTTACACCTACAGGAGAGAGACAGCCTTGCAGAGCTTTGAAAAGACACTTACAAAATATGAGAGTCATTCAAATCAAGTTACAGCCTTTGTAACACTCTTTTTTGTAGAATGGTATATTTCTTCATGTAACGTCTGTTAATTGTTGCAATATTGTATTTAGGGAGCCAAAATAGCAGAGTTGCAAACTGCATCTGACGGCTCCACCTCTTGCCAGTATTCTTGAAATGTTAACTAGTTGGTTCGGAAGGAACTTTTACTCCACTTTCCTGCCAACATTTTTGTTTTATGCCTTTATTTACTGCCTTTAAAACACTCTGAAATTCAGTATGATTTATTTACAAAGGAAAAAACAGCAGCGATCACCTAAACTTAGTAGACTACTACCACAATTTGGACAGATAATCCATTTGGCAAAACTGTGGGTGGTTTGTTGTATTTGTAGCATGTATTGTATTTGTAGCATCCCTCATCAACATAAGGGATTTTGCCTCTTGTACTTTAGAATTCAGCATTCAGGTATACTTAAGAACGCTTGCGTATGTTGTTTAGAGCAATACCTATTCATCATAATAATTGCATTTATTATTCGTAGGTAGCCTTATGAACATGTTCTGGGAGCTGAATCCCCTGGAGCTAGTTTATGGGGGCCTGTTGGTGGGAATAGCAAAAAATAAGAGATCAGCACATGAGAATATAGTCCATATTTCTGATGCATGTGTTTCTTCAATGAGCGGGCTGAAGCTGGCTTTAAGAGTAAGGCCTATATTGTGCTTGCATGCACAGTTACAAATCAGGTGCCATCGATCTGCAGATAAAAGACAGAAATAAATTTCACTGGGAAAAAAGAAGGCTCTAAAGCCTTTTATCCCCAGTTAAAATGACCAACAAAATGCCTTTTCAATTGTGGAAAACATCAGCAGTGTCTCTGAGATTTAGCACCTTTATTCACACCCTTACCTCCCACTGTTCTATATGTTTCAGGCATCAAGCCATGGTAACTGGGGGTCCTGGGGACCTTGGGGACAGTGCTCCCGTACCTGTGGTGGAGGCGTTCAGTTTGCGTATCGTCACTGCAACAATCCAGCTCCTAGAAACAACGGCCGGTACTGCACTGGCAAGAGAGCCATCTATCGCTCCTGCAATGTCACACCCTGCCCAGCAAATGGTATGTTATGTACTTGCTCCAGCCTCTGTTTTCATAGATAGTAAACATTGAACATCTACTGAGAAAGGAAACAACAAAGATCTATTGTACTTCCTTTAAAATGCGCTTACCAAGGCAAGACATTCAACATTCATACAATATGTTAATTCTTCCCCCAACCCCACACTGATTGCAGACAGAAAGGACGTTGAAATGAAAATAAATTTGTCCTGGAAAATGAACCATCATGCTAGCTTTAGTCCTTCATAGCATGGGAAGATTGCTAAAAAAGTTAAAGAGAGATGAAGTGTTGTAACTTCAAAAATCAAGTTAAGAAGAAATTGGAATAATAGGTGTGAGTGCGTGATGATTTTTATAGCACAGTCTGCAATAGTCGCTAATGATTTGAATAATTCTACAGCTAAATCTTTTCGACAAGAGCAGTGTGAAGCAAGGAATGGCTATCAGTCTGATGCAAAGGGTGTCAAAACATTTGTTGAATGGGTCCCCAAGTATGCTGGAGTGCTTCCTGGAGATGTTTGCAAGCTCACCTGCCGAGCCAAAGGAACTGGCTATTATGTGGTATTTTCTCAAAAGGTAATTTCATCTCCAGTCATGACTTCATGTTCAAGCTGAGAAGTATCCTGTATCTTAGAAATCTTTCCCAACAGCAAGGGAAAATAAGTTAGTCATATAATTCAAAGTTTTAACTGTGTCATTAAATATAATGGTTTGATCCAGTGGTTATACAGTAGGACCAGAATTGACCTCTGAAATTAGTCAAGTATTTTCACATTTCAATATGTGGGTTCATAAAAATATGGGTCTGTTAGTGGATTCTGCACTGGTTTCTTTTCAGTAGCGGATAAATGTTTTTTTGCCTGCAGACTCATCTGTGAGTCTGGTGGCCTTTGGAGGAGAGAGAGTGCCATAAGTAAAAGAATAAATTTTACCCTGAATTTAAGGGAGTCTTAATATATTAAAGGAATCTAGAGTAACTCAAACAAAGCTAATTAATATAAAATAACTAGCCAATTATTGTAGATTTGACTTGCAGTGATGCAATTTGAACTGTCTCCTACACTTATATCTGCAGTTTTCTGCCTCTAAATGTTATGAGGATATATGCATTAATAAGGTGAACTGATATGCTCAAGTGAGAGGCTATGCACAAGTACTGATATCATTATTATTAATAAACTGTAAGCTCATCATTAAAGTCAGGGTCATTTTAGTGTTTTATGCTAGAGTTATCTGTCACTGCTTTCAGCCTCTGCCTAAACCTCATCTGCTTTAGTGCTGTGAATGTTAGAGAAACTCAGTCTGGGCTGCCAGGATAGGAACTCTGTTCTGTATGGGTCACGTAAATAAGTAACTTTTTTTACCAGTTAGATTCACAAACCAATTTATTTTTATTTTATCTGTGGTAATTTTAACTAACAGGCATTTGATTACCTAGGTAACTGATGGTACTGAATGTCGACCATACAGTAATTCGGTCTGCGTCCGGGGAAAATGCATCCGAACTGGTTGTGATGGCATCATCGGTTCAAAGCTCCAGTATGATAAGTGCGGGGTATGTGGAGGAGACAATTCCAGCTGCACAAAGGTCATGGGAACCTTTACCAAAAAGAGGTATTGATCTTGAGTATTAGTAAATATTTAAAAAATACTTGCTTTGCAAATAGTATCTCTACTTGTCTGTGCCTGCCTGCTTTCCTTCCTTCCTTCCTTCCCTCCTTCCTTCCTTCCTTCCTTCCTTCTTTCTTTCTCTGAATTCAATTTACTTGATGTTTACAGATATTTACAGCTGGCCTCTTAATAATACCCTGAAACTTGCAAATAATCACCTGTCAAAACACTGTACCTAGTTCATTTCTGACATAAAGTACAAGTGATACAGGTGAGCAGACCTAGGCATAGAATCTTATGTTATTTGCCAGTCTTGCTGTGGCAGATGACTTGTGGTTTGTAGAGAAGAGAGGGAAGGGAAGAGAGGGATGCATCAGACAGTTGTTGAGGTCAGAATACTCTGTATCTGAAACTGCATTTCCCAGGTGATGCTGCATTAGGAAGTTATGCTCTGGGAATCTGTTTGATCTCATCTATCTTTGAACACTAAGTATATCCCACCTGATTAAGTGACAGAATCCTTGTGTAAGTTAGTGGAGAGAAGCAGCAGACAACAGTAGAGCACAGCTGTAAAAGTTGTCCTTGGCAGCTGAGAGGGATTATACCCTAAAAGTACCTTTTCACACCACTCAGTATACAGGGAGCTTAGATGACTAGATGAGATGTCAGAAGTGGCATTTTCTACATCCCTTAGTGTTCACTAGGATCATATTGATCTCCAGATGTACTTCTTTTAAGTTAAAATATTTATTGCAGTTATCTGTAAGACGTTTTTCTGTCAGAATTCAGCTTTTAACTACAATACTTCTTAATATGAACAAAAGAAAAGCAACATCCCCATGTTTTTTCCTAACCATATTGAGAGCAGCAGCAAGCTTTTTACAGATTACCAATGTCAAATAAGTCTGCCTTCTGTCTGAATTCTTGTTTCCCTAACCCTTCCATTCTTAAGGTTCATAAAAGAATGAAAATTTTTTTACTATCATTTGTATAGATTCCAAGGTTTTAGAGGACCGCTGTAGTGACCTACTCTTAGGAACTTTTAGCTGAACATTTATACTCGGAATCTTGCAACTGAATTAGTGTACCATCTTTTAAAATTTACAGAAACTTTATTTTGCTTAGTGTCTTCCAAATTATCATATGGAATGCTACTACAAGTTGAAATCTGAGTCCTGAAATGACTTTTTATTTCTATACATTTCAACATACTAATTAATAGCAGTCAAAAATATCTTTGAGTGATTTTTTTTTCTAAAAATAAATATAACCAATATTCTTCTCAGTAAACCAATGATTACTCACCTAGGGATGCCAAAACACCTCTTCCAAAAAGAATGGAATTTCCATCTAATTTAGTATTTATATAAACCAGATCTGTTCTAATCTGTAAATATTGAAATGTCTCAGCTGTCTAAATGAAGAAGGCAGTGCAAAATATTCATGTGCTTTAGCAATGATCCTTGTGGTGCAGACCAGGCTCCAGCAAAGATGCTAAAGGGACTCCATGAATTTTAGTGAAGCCAGATTTGTAGCGTAGATATACTTGGAATCAGTGAGATTCTACTGTAATTATACCTATGAAGGTACCATCTAATTCTAAAAATCATGACTTTAACTGAAATGAGACCAGTCAGAGAATAAAATATTAATTCAACCTCAGTGCATTTGAAGAGCTGTCCCATATAGAAAGTAATAAATAATCAAACAGTTCTAACTTGATTTTGATTGAATTTGCGTTGTCAAGAATTTATTTTTTACTGGGAATATTGTTTGAGATGATTCCTTTATGCAAGTGACTGACTTCAAAAAAAGAAAAAAAAAAACTTCATTAAAATAGTGAAATCTTAATTGTCTGTAAACTATTTTTGTATATAAAAGGGCAGTGGCTCTAGTAAAATTATCTTTCTCCACTGAAAAATAGCAGCTCCCTCTTTGCTATCCACTATAAACCAACCTGTATTTTAAATGTACAGGGAAATTATTAAATGTGTAAGAGAAAACTAGTATTTTCCATTGTAGACAATTGCCATAACAACATTTGTTTGTACTTTTTTCCCTTAAAGCAATCAAAACACAATCTTCTGGAGAACTCTTTCGTAATAACTTTTTTTAAAAGGCTGTAAAGTTAAATAGTCAGAAGTTGGGAAATAGGAGAATGAAAGATGCACATGCTTCTTTTTGCACATGAAATATTGAAGAAAATGTTGCATTCTCTAGCATTTCTTTTAATTTTTGAAGAAATGATTTTGTAACTTTAATAATATGTTTTAACAGAGCTCTTTTGGCAACTGTTAAGTAAAAATATTTGTGCAGTGCTGTTCTTTGCACCATATTCCTTCACGTTTATAGAGCTGCTAAATCAAGGGACTTTTAGTAGTTGTCCTATAACTGCTTGAAATAGCATGGGAATAGCACTAGTGTTTAATCTGCAGTCTCTGCAGTCTTTACTTTTGCAACCAAAAATTTGCAAAGGTAGTAGTCTATTCTTTAAACAATTCCAAGGGACCCCATTCACTATTATACATTTTAAGTATATTTTCTCATTCCCTTTCCTCTAGATGTTTCAGCACTAACCTTTTCAGATTTGAGGTACTTGCAGAATGGTTTTATCACAAGATTAGAAATGAAAATAAATGTTTCCAAAGTCCAGCTGGTAGCGTACAGCTTTGTGCAGCATTCAGACTTTTGTCTGTTTATCCATACAGTTAAAACAAATAATATACTTGAGATAGTAAAAAGTTTTAGCACACTTGCAGGTTTTGAATGCTTGTCACTTTTGGTAGAAAAGTTAAATATCTTCTTCTAAGTCTGCATTAAAACATTTCAAAGTAGAAGCTAAGAGAACTTTGTGGTACAAATTAAACATTTGAGTGTACCTTGTGTTAGACACTTAACAATTAATCTTCAGCTTTATGAATTTCAAAGTAAACAAATTTTTTCTCAGTGATCAAGATTATTTTAAAATGTTCCCAAGGTACCTCTATCCAGCTGTTGCTCTGCTCATGCTTCCCTTAATCATCATTATAGCAAAGACAGCAAGAAACAGCTGTAACCAATGCATATCTCATTATCTTTCCTTGGCAGGCAGAACGTGCATCGTATTTCATATCTCCCACCCTTTGCTGAAATATATAAGCTATCTGTTATTCTTCATTCCTTTTGTATCTGACTCATGTAAAATCATTACTAATGCTAAAGATTAAGCAATTTGAAGTAAGTGCAGTAGAAATTTCTTCAAGAACATAAAGAACAGTACACAAGACAAATAACGAAACCCGATTAAACTAATCTTAGATGTGCCGCTAGCCAGATGGATTCAAGTAAAGATGCATCGTACCGGTAACTTCATTAGACTTAAAGTTTATTTCACACCAGCTACTGAGTACTTTCTTTTTCTCTTTTTTCTTTCCCCCCCCCTCATTCAGTAAGGGCTACACAGATATAGTGAAAATCCCAGAAGGGGCAACTCACATCAAAGTTCGGCAATTCAAGACTAAGGACCAGAGCAGGTTTACTGCCTACCTGGCCCTGAAAAAGAAAAATGGTGAGTACCTTGTCAATGGAAAATATATGATCTCCACTTCAGAAACAATCATTGACATCAATGGGACTGTCATGAACTATAGTGGCTGGAGTCACAAAGATGATTTCTTGCATGCGATGGGACACTCTGCGACAAAAGAGGTTCTTATTGTGCAGATACTTGCGACTGACCCAACTCAACCCGTGGATGTACGTTACAGTTTCTTCGTGCCAAAGAAGCAAGGGCAAATGACTAACTCTGTCACCGGCAGTGGCAGCAACAGCAAAGTAACTCCACAGCTCATGCAACCCCGGTGGGTTACGGGGCCATGGCTTTCTTGTTCTCGAACATGTGACACAGGATGGCACACCAGGACTGTCCAGTGCAAAGATGGGCATGGAAAACTAGCTAAAGGATGTCTTCTCTCTCAGAGACCGTCAGCATTTAAACAGTGCTTGTTGAAAAAGTGTTAACCTGTGGTTGTGATCTTCTTTAAAAGAGGTTTGATGAAGCCATTTTTGACATACCGGTATTAGGTCTGCCCAGACAGAGAGAAGCAAAGGCTTCGATGTACTTACATATAGTCTCAAATTATGGGCAGAATCTGCCTATTTGGACCAAATGAAGATGTGCACTGCTTTAAAAAATAGTAGGGTGATCTTAATATGTCAAAAACCTAAGCATTAAAGTTGTTATAAGCCCTCTGCGTCTGCAAAAACATAAAATAAAATAATAAAAAAGAAGAAAAACTAGTGAATGGAGGATCCTGGGATATTTGAAGGTTACAGAATCATCTCCCCATTTTTCACCTACCTCTAATACAGTATGTCCTTAGAAAATGTCACTTGTACCCATGATACCACAGTAGCTTATTTTATACTGTTTTGTAAATATATTTGATTTGGTATGTCACTTTATATCACTTGGTTCTATTAAAAAAAAAAAAGACAAACTATATAAGCAAAGTGATTGACCAAAGTATATCTACAGCCCTGTGGACTTGGTCCAGTCTTCAGAAATGGCTGCAGATGTTTTACTGGAAAATGAAGAGCTTGCTGCTGGTTTTAAAAAGTAATACTTTTTGGTTTTGACAAAAGGAAATGCATTTTTGTTCCAGGAATTTCCTGACAGCAGATCATAATTCTGACAAATACTGTGTTTCCACCAAGAAATTCTCAAAAGGAGCATTGCAGCAGTTCACAGACCAGGGATCCCCACAAGTACATTGCTTAAATACCAGCACCATCAGCAGCTCCTTACTATGTGTATGTCACACACACATAACAGGAGGATTTGGCTGCTAGAAAGAATGTGTATACCTTCGACTTAGTAAACTTTCCATTAGCTCCAGCTGTGTCACAGCACGGGGTCCTTCTTGTCGATGAACAATAGCTGCTAGTTCCTTTTATCCACAAAACAAAGGCATACTGTATTTTGTAGAAACTAGTTAGAGAACCAAAAATTACAGGTAAGATAAACAAGTGTCTTCTAACTCAGATATTCTGAGGCTGTATACAACTGCTTTCTCTGTTATTTTCTCTATGGCTTCCACCTTGAATCTAACAATGTGTAATGCACCTACATCTTTTGAAGAGGCTGTAAAGGTCGGAAAACACAGCAAGCAGTTAATATTTTATCACTGTTTTGTCCATCATGTCTAACTCTGGTATTCATCTTACCAGCAAAAGTTTGTAACTATTTGTCTTTTTGTTTGTTGATTTTTTTTGTTTGTTTTTATTTTTTTTAAGCTGTAGAACTTATTCATATTTTGTATATCTACCACATTTGGGAGGCAGAGGGGTCATTAGAAAGTCAAACCACATCAGGATGTGGAAGACTTACCCAATATCAATAAGACTGTTTCCACAGTACAGGCAGTAGCTAGTAATAATTTTCTTTGGCAGCAGCTTCTGAATCCCATTATTGTCTGGTTGAAGTTGTGTGACCGAGGAAGGGTATTTCAACATATGCAGGTAACAGGTGGAGGCTTGACACCAACCCTGTTAGAATTGCTTCCTTTTTATCATCAGGGTTTGAATAAAGCCCTAGAATAACAGGTACCAAAAGAAATGGTCATGATCTACTAATGAAAATAGAAGCCCATCTGTCTTTTATTTTTCAGTTCATCCACCCAGGAGAATGTAAAACTGTAGGAGCATTTTCAGACACAACTGTGAGTCAGTGGTATTTGAGCACTGAACTTCCCTAGACTCTTCTAGGAAAAATCCCAGTCATGAAATCAGTAAAGAAAACATGTTGGCTTGTGTAGTGAGAAGGTCAGGTCTCACTCCAGGCTGACATAAACATGTTTTTGCAACTGAGGCGTGTTTGTGTGAATTCTAGAAAGCATGTGATGATTTTAAAACAGCATAGAGTTGCTACATCTACCAGTATGAAACTGGAGAAATATCTGTTTTTGTACTCTATTATAAGTAAACAGGAATAGGGTTAGGGCCTCATCCTCCCTAAAACTGAATTACAAAGGAATGTTACTAGTCATCTTCAGTTTTCAAGAATAGTATGACCTAATAGAAGTAGTCCTATAAAAAATATGGGTCTTGAGGAAAATTCCCTTGTTAATAACTGACATCACCCCATTAACTTAGATCAAGGCTCTGAATATTTGCAAATTTCTGGAAAGTTAAGATTTTTGCCTCATCTAAACAAATGTTCCAGAACCTCTCACGAAAGTTCGTAGTAAGTATAAACCATCAGGAGAGGAAAAATAAGGAGATTTAATGTGCATAGACTTAATATTTGTCTTGGCATACAGCTGCTTTATTAAGTGGCATTTCTTTTTCCTGTGTTTTATCAGAAAAGAGAATGTACAAGTATTTGTGTTTGCATCATAGTAGTAATTTATTATTAGTGAACGAAATGAGTAAAGCTTTTGGATGCTGCTCAGATTCCGGAAGAATACCATAAGCTGGTATAAATTTAAAGCTTTCTTAGATCAAGACTATCTTTTTCATAGAAAGATTATTTATAAAAATTAAATAAATATGGGAACTAAACAAAGCAAATATATGTGCAAAAGAAGTTTCCTTTATATGGTGAGAGGGCAAAGGGGACAGACAAAGGAAGCAATCCTAAAAATGCAAGATGAACTAGACCAGCCTGCTCTGTTTAACACTTGCTTTTTAGCAGATCTTTGTAATCAGACTCTAATTGCCAACCTTGCTTTTTTCAGTCATAGCTATTTCGTGTAACTGATGAATGAAAAATCGATGCGAGGTATGTGACTTTGTCGTTTCAACTTGTGTTCCGAACTAAATTCTTTGTTGGTCACACATTGCTTATATTACTACCAAGTCATGCCAAATAAGATTCATAAAATGCTTCCTCTGGATAGAGACACTGTCTAAGAAGCCCAGAGAATTACTCTGTGCATGGAAGTAAACAATAGTCAGTGTTAAACTCACTGCAGGTTTTTTGGGACACATCTCCAATGCTTTCAGTGGAGTTTAGCCCCTTAAAATCTGTGTTCTTCAGAGCATCTGCTTTTCAAATATGACAGCCTTGTTATGAAAAAGCCTATCATCTTTGTTTTGTCTGTATACCTGAAATTCAATTTAGCTGCCCTCCTGTGGAAACAGTTTTATCACAAGGGAGAGAGGAAATAATCTTGTGGATTAATCACAATTGTTAAAAAAAAAGAAAAAAAAAAAAAAGAAAAAAAAAGCAACACAGCACTGAAAAAAAAATAAAATAATTTATTGTTTTTACAACTGGTATGTGAACGGATGTAATGAATTTATTTATTCTTATTTAACAAAAATACCAATTGTGCAAATTCTATATTTAAAATGTTTGCTATCATCTCTCTCTCTCTTTCTTGCTCTCTCTCTAATTTATGCTTCAAATTTGTGTTGAAAGTACACCTTGTGAGTTTACATAATGTATGGCACTGGTTATTTTTTTGTTTGTTTTTATTTAGAAATCTTTCTGCATGAAACAGGAGTATATGTGTATACGTGTGTGTACACTGTATAGATGTATATTCTTTTTTCTGCTACCACCTTAGACAAGTTGTAGATTTCTAAGTTTGTGACACCTCGTGCTCAAAGGAGCTTTGTTACACTTCAGCTCTAGCTAGCAAGTCTTAGAGGTCTGTGGATCACCAAAAAAAAAAATAAAAACACTTCCATGCTCCTAAAGCGATCAGACAACAGATTCCATAAAGGTGCGAAAGGTGTGTGCAATTCTTATGACGCACCTCGGTAATTTACCACTGAAGGTGGTAAGAGTCCTACCATTTGCACCAGATTTGGTTTATGCAGACTGAACCATTAAAAAAGCTGCCTTTTCAGTCTTTTCACCATTTATATACTTACATACATTTGCTTCATTATATTCCAGCTCATCACACCACGTCAGGCAAAGTTAGACACTAACATCCAGCCAAGCATGCATTCCAAGTATTTCCTTGAAAATAATGGTATCTGCTTACTTCCACTGTTCGTCCAGTCCAAATTCTGCTGAACTCAAGGGAACTTGCACTGGACTCATTATGAGGTAAAAAATGCAATATAAATAAACTCATAAAATCAATTTATTTAACAATACAAATTATTTCTGTAACCACTTCCCTGTAAGGACAGTAGTACAGACAGCAAATAATCTATTTCAAATGACCAAAAAGTACCTTTCTCATTAGTGTCTAAATTCACACAAGTTAAACTCCAGCTCAGCCTCTGTGCGCACTGTTTCCTGCCGTCAAGGCACTACCCAAGACCCTGAACCAGCCACAAGGCTTTAGATAAAATTACAACAACCAATGGGTAATGGCCTCCCTTAAGACCCACTCCAAAATGCCAGGAAATGACAGTAAGCCTTGACTTTGATAATCTTTAGGGCAGGCTTTAAATAGGATTCATAAGGATGAAACATTAATAATGGTGGGTTTTCAGCAAAACATTTAGGTGACTGTTTTTTCTCATGTTCATGAATGCTGTGCTGTTTTTTGTCACTGAGGAAGATGGAGCCTATGGCAAGAGCCAAAATTAGATTTTCTGAGCACGGGCTGCAATTTTCAGGGGAAAAAAAAAAAAAAAAAAAAAAAAAAAAAAAAAAAAAAAAAAAAAAAAAGTTGCTGATTTTGAGGTCTTTGTTCCTTTTTTTAATTAACCGATTAGTTTTTATAGAGTTATGAGAGTACATCACTGCATTCATACTTGCCATTGGTAACATTTTCAATAAGGTTTTTTTGTTGTTTTGTTTTTGTTTTACTCTGGGTACACTGAATGCCAGCTTGTGTAGTAAAGGTAGTTCAACATTCTTGTTTCAAAAAACATTGCTAATGCAAACATTTCTGGTTTATCATGTGTAGTGGTAATGACTCTTAACCTGAGACAACTTGTCAGATAGTCAGTTGGCATCACAATATATAGCTCTGGGGTAGCTCTGCCAGTTTTCAGTGGCAGCATACAAACACTGAAAAGCCTCAAACACCTTGTTAATCTTCTAGGTAAATGGCTGCAGAACTTCTCTCCAGATACCCTGTAACAAACATCTTGATAGTGTCCGGCCACTCTGCGCAGTACAGAGTTACAGATTGAACCCAAAACTCACAATGCTTTTTGCCCTGAAACCTGTCTGCAGAGGCTCACAGTAGCTGTAAGGACACTAAAAACATTTCCACATATGTCAGATAGAATCTCGTATAGTCCGTGTTGAAATGCATAGGTGGACACACAGAACTTAGCTATAGCTAAATGGAAATGTATATTTTTGTATGTGCGCTTGCATATACATGTGGATGTATAAACATGTTCACATACGCATACACACGAACAAGTATTTGGGTCTCCATTAGTCCCATTCACAGGGCAAAATATGTAGGTATAACTAACACCAGTGCAACTAAATTCAGAGTAATTTTTTTTTACATCATTTGGCTTTGCAGGAGCTGCTTCAGACGTATACCACTCTAGGTGACAACATAGTTTCTCTTGTAATTTATAGGAACTGGTTTACACAATTTATCGTATGAACTGTGAAGTTTTCTAATAGTTTTATCATATGAAACATACTCCTTGACAGTCAAGCTTATATGCATTGCTAAAATCTCATCAGATATAGGAAATAATACACTGTATTCAAGTAAATTGGAGACAGTGTGTATCCCTGTATAGCAATGAAAAATACTTAATTTCTATTGTCAGGTCATTGCCTAACATCAGATAAAATTAGAGAGGTATTCTAGGGAAGACTAACAGGAAAGCACAACCTTTATTTTTTCTTAGATTATTTCATGTGCCTCTTTGTACACTCTATTGGTGTCAACATATTCCGGAAAGTGTCACTTTGTGCATTATAGATAACTTGACTGAAATACTGGTACCCTTTGAAAACTAAGATGTGTCACAAAACTTTTTTTCATTCTAATTTGTGTCTAATATAAGAGAATTAACATTTTTAGAGCACTACTATGTCAGCCAGTTTACACCACAATTAATATGTTATGCAAAATATAAATTCATTTGAACTGAATTGTACAAGGTCTACACTGTACTATGACACATTGAAGGCCAATATTTTGTTTTGTTAACTATTACATATGTATAATTTACCAGTTGTAATCTTAAAACACTTGATTCTGTGATTTCAGAAAAAGTAATAAATATAAACTGTATCATAGGTCCAGGTACTTGTTCTATATGGTATATTTGTGGGCTACTGTTTGCCATTTGTGACCCACTAATGACAGGTAAGCTAAGAGAGACTGAGCTGATCACTAAATTAAGTGATTTATGTGAAAGTGTTCTTTTGAGTCATGAAGTATAACAGAGGAGTGCAGAAAACAGTGTGTGCAGTACCTTTCTAGAGCCTTAGACAAAGTCCAGTAGATATGGTATACACTGGTGATCACCCGAGCCCCTACAAAGCCCCCATGAAATCCGTGAGACCTATACAAAAGCATCATCCAACAGAATTAGACAGTGGATTAAAATAGTCAGAGTGAGATTCATAATTATCAATGTAAACCTAACTAAAGCAGTAAAAACCGGCCAGAACAGGTAATGAAAACATACAGTTTGTGCAAAAACGGTAGTAAAGCATGTATCAAAGGAAAGAGAAAAGCAGCAACTAAGGCGATTGGGCTGGTAAGAAAGAATGACTTACACACTCCAGTTGAAGCATGGCTCTTAAAACACTTTAGTACTAAGACTTACTTTTCCAACAGAACTGCACTATTATATTATGCATTATAATTCAATTTCCATGCTGATTTCTTGCTTATCCTTTCTAATTCCGTAACACTAAGTTGGAGTTTTTCACATTCCCTAAAATGATGTGCTCTTTCCAAAAGTGAAAGCAAGCCCAACTCAAAAACTGTCTCACCCCATCCATGTGCATGTCTAATCTATTGTTTGCTGAAATTTTTTTGAATTTTGGACTTTGCTTATTTGTTATTGTTGTTGTTTGTTTGATTTATATTGTTTTACAGATTCTAAATTATGTTGATTCTTATTTACAGAAACCATGTACTCATGCCTAAGAATAGCTTTTCTTCCTAGGTTGTTCATACAATGGCAGTGAAGCTTTACAGAGCAGCCAGTACTTATAAAGACAGGCCCAAAATGTATAATAATCTGTTACACTACATACAAGTGTGCTTGAACCACATTACATAAGAACTATCAGGCTTGTTACAGTACATGTCTAGATCTACAAATATATATATACACACAATATAATATATCTGTATATACTCTGTATGTATATAAAAGTTTCAGAAAACCTTGTTTACACATTTACACTAGATGTTTTTAAGACTGGTCACTGCACATCAGAAAGAATACTATGTTCAACATCAGTGAAGGATGCAGTGAAAATCCTGTGCAAGAGTGCATTTTTACCATTTATCCTGCCTAAAGGGCTGAGGGAGGTTATTCACCTGTTCCACAGTCTCTTCAATAATAAGTGACTTAACAGGTTTTCTGCCTTCCCTTCATCTTTTTAGGTCCCGGGTCAGGTCAAAGCCTCCACCCATTCCTCATCTCCCCCTGCCCACCTGCAAGTAGAAATAGCAGTTGTACAACCTATTCCATAATTTCGTCCTCTACTTTTAAGTATTTTTTGTCTGTTATACGACTCCACAAGTATTAACACCTCAGTGATACTTCAGTACCTCCTTCATATTTTTGTCTGCAAAACAAGCTGCAGTGTCACCAAATGATTATGGCAGGTGCTATCTTCACAAAATTATGTTTTTATTTCCTATTTTAGAATATGCAGTAGCTCAGAAAAAGCCATTACTGAGAATGGAAATCCATTCATATACAAATCAAATACAGCAGTATAGACTTTCTCAAATGTCCAAGGCTGTCATAATTCCATTACCGTGCAGGGACTGTTCTGTATCAAGAAGATGAACTCATTCTCTCTTAATGTATTTTCCATCTCTTCATAATGTGACATTTCACCTCTTCAGAAACCACACATAATTACATATGATGGGGGAGACTTATTCCCAAGACTCAGAACTTATAGACCCAAGTCTCATTTTTAGTTTGGGATGCAAGATGCATTTGATTCAATTTTAGTCTTCCAGCCAAAGTGATCCTTTAAAAAATATCTTGGAAACCAAAATATATTAAGTAATCAAACAAGAAAATGCTCAAGTCTTTCCACATTGCCTACACTGTTGCCTCACTCTTCTTACGCTACGCAAAGACCCAAGTAACAAATTCATTGTGCTTACACCACTCAGCATTCTACACTGACCCAGCAATAGGGTTGAAGTGAAAATGTAGGGGAAAAAATATTATAATAAAAATCCATGGAAATAAATTATTATTTTCCATGGTTTCCCTTGATTATTCTGGGAAAAGTATGCTTAAGGAAAAATGCACACATTTAAAAATCTTAAGATTTTAAGAAAATCTTAAGCAACTGCTTGATAAAGCTTTGTTGTAGCAATTATGCAACCTAAGGATTTAGTTATTAAAATGGCCATGGCAGCCATCACCACCACAGTCTCACTACTCCAGGTGTTGCAGTTTGGTTCAATGATGTCACTTTACTGCTTCCGTTCTTCCCATTCCTCTGTCCCAGTAAGACTTTACCTAAAGAACCCATGTCTTCAGAACTAAAAGCAAACCCTCTGCAGCGGACCAAGTTCTGCTGCCCAGACTTACATTAGTAATGATGCTTCCAAACAGCCCTCAAATGGAGCCAGGTGGGTGCATAAAAAAAAAAAGACTCGGAATCCCTGCCCTTGCAGCTTCCAGAAGCACAGCAGTGGGGAGGTGTGAGCCTAGCACAGCCAAGCTAATGCTAGTAGGCGAAGCCAGCTGAACCTGCAGATCCTGCATGCGTGCAAGATGTGCAAGAACATGCCTATCTCCAGCACAGCTGAGTGCTTCACACAGGTGTACATCATAAATATGTTCTTTTTATAGCTGCAGCTCTGCTAATCGCTGTTTCTCTCCTATTTACCCATTTGTGGTGTGGGCTTTCTTTTTTTTTTGTTTGTTTGTTTTTGGTTTTTTTTTTGTGTGTGTGTGTGTGTGTGTGTTTTTTTTCTTTTTTTTCTTTTTGTGAGTGAGAGTGCAGTCAAGATGGTTTTTACTTTTTTTGTTTGTTTGTTTGCTTGCTCTGGAGGTACTGGGGCTCCTTTCAAGCTTGCCTGTGCAGAGCTGCTCACTTGCAGAACTGTTGTTGAAATAACTCAGGCACCGGTGTGTGCTTATTAAACGCTCAGAGTTGAAACTTCCCTGTTTTCCACAGAAATTTAGTAGAGCATGAAGTGAGTGCCCTGGCAGCAGGTGTTCTGCCTGGACCCTCTGTTGATGGAAGCTGGATCTTCTCATGGTGACTGATAATTTTGCTTATTTAATAATAGAGGGCCATTATGCCCTGATGAGGTTTGCAGATGTAAATCCTGCTCTAGCTGTGTGGATAACTACTGAGGGGCACACGCCTGGGTCAGACACACAGAGATTTGCAAAGAATGTGCAAATTACCCTCAGCAAGCAATCCCGCAGAGGCCCACTGGAAACCTGCTGCACACAGCCACAAAGCAGTGAAGGTACCACAGAGAAACATCTGCTGGTGGACCAGAAATGCATCTGAGAAGGGAACATCACCCCAGTACCGTCCCCAGCAGCCTCAGGTAACTAACATCTTGAAATAGTTGAAGCCTGGCGGCTGGCCACCTCAGCAATTGCTGACATGGCAGCGACCCAACGGGTTGGCAAACAGGCTGCTGTGCTACCTAGTAAAGGTGGTCTGTAACTAAAGGGTAACGAAAATTATACTGGAAACTTTCTGAGCACTTTAAAGTGGTCTGTTTAAGACAGAACCCTGCCCACTGGAAGTGGTCCTTACTGAAGGCCTTGCTGTACTTACCAATGTTTTTGTCCAGAAAAAACAGCGTTACAGGCATTCTGTGTGGGCTGGGAGGAATATTTTCACGCTAATATTTATGTGGCATGCTGAGATCTAACAGCTATCCAGAGGGTTTTTGGCTAATATTTCATTTAACTACATGCTGCAGAGAACTCCCAAACAAAAGCACGTGAAATGGCAGGCTCCTCAGGGGCAAACCAGGCGGCAGAGGGGCCACCACCGATAGTGGTGACACTCTCTGCATGATGACCCAGTGGCTGTAGAGAGATGGGCTCTTTTGATAGGAATTCGAGTTATGAAAGGATTTAATGGGAAATTACCAACCAGTCTGGCATTCAAATGCCAAAATACACAATCAGACTCTTGGCCATACAGGCAAGCTGTAATGTTCTTCAAAGGGAGAAAGGAAATGGCAGGGCTTCTCTGTGCAAAGCTTAGCCTCTTAATGTATACAGGAAATCATCATCAAGATGCTAGCCCTTAATCAGGTTAAAAGGAGGCAACGAAGTGAATTATTATTTATGAAGAACTGCTCCTCTGGAGGAGAGGAGAAGGAACCAAAGGATGTTTTATTTCACTCTCCATTAAAATAATTATTATTTTGGAATGAGTTTATGTATTTCTGGATATTATTTTTCCCAAAATAGTTTCTGAAATAAAGGCAGAGTCAGAGCCAGAACCCAAGGCAACCTGTGAGGTTGCTGCAGATCAACTTTGCCTCCAAAAGGTTTCTGCCTGCCTCAGCCTGCAGAAGGCCTTTCCAGTAAGACTCCAGTCTGAGGCTCGTGCTCCCCAGAGCCTGCATGTTCTACCCCAAGAGCCTTTTTCTTTGGCTGCATTCATAATGTTTATTTAAATCATCACCTGGTTTGTCTTCAGACCTAGCCAGATTTCTAGAAGTATGTAAGAGAACGATAAAGTCCTAGAAGATTAGAAAAGAAGGATATTGGCAAAAGAGAGAGGGGGGGGGGAGAGGAAAAAAAAAAAAAAAAAAAAAAAAGTTTCATTTCCAACTACAAAGGAAAAAAAAGGGGGGGGAAGGTCCAAGGAGCAACAGTATCTATGAACAGTATCTCCTCTGTCTTGAATCTGGATGTAAGCCATAGCCAAGCAGTGTCCAAAAACTCTGAAAAATTTAGGGGGTTGAATTTGATATTCTAGAAATCAATTTATTAGGGGGGGAATGTAAAATACAAAGTAAAACAGCTAAAATAAGAGAGTATATAGAGGGGGAAAAAAAAGATTTTCCTTTCAGTTTGATACATTGAAGGACAAGAAACAATAAGAGA